AGTTGAAAGCCACAAATGTTTGTTCCACATGGGGCTGGGATATGCTATCAGAAGGGGTATGCTACTGCTGTGCAACTCTTTTATCCTCTCACATCACTCAAAATCACGAAGATAAGTTAAAGTAAAAATTCCACAGCCAAACAAATGAACAAAAAAAAAAAATCAAACCAAAAACACCACAATGTGTGTCAAAGTAACATGTGCAAAACACAAAAACTGTGTTTTGATAGCAAAAGCTATCTCTGGCAGATTTATGCCGCTTTTCTGTTATTGTGAGGAAGACAGAGGACACATTTAAAAAAAAAAAAAAAAAAAAAGTATATGAAAAAAAGTAAAGGAAAACTCAAAGGGGATATTCACGCCTTGGTCTGACAGTAGTTCAGCCCAGCAGAAATGATGATCAGGATGATGCTCTGCTAGAGTCCAGCTTCGTGGGCAGCTCTTGCAGACTGACCCACCTATAGTTACATTACTACTACTCTCCAATTTGAGCTGTGGCTACACATTTTGCTACAGTTCAGACACATCTTTAGAGAAATTAAGAAAAATTTAAAAATCTGGACCTTATCTAAATATTTACATTGAGGCAGAATCACAATGCCATGATCACAGTGACAAGAGGATGATGCCTCTATAGTCTGTATGCAAGAAGCAAGCTTAACAGACAGAAGTCTGAGAAATGCCTTAGATTTACATTTTCATTTCTCATAAGCATGAACAGGCAATTAAACATTGGCCAAGAACCAGAGAGATGGAGAAAATCATAGTTTATGCAAAAGAACATACACTAGATTTATGACACATCAGAAAGGTACTGAAAATCTAAAAATCCTACTTGAAATATCTGTAAGTAGAAAAGAAGTTTGGTGGAGTAGTATGAAATAAACACACATTGTGAAAGCACCTTTTCTGTCTTTATACTTTGACATTTTTAATGTACATATTCAAAATCAGACTTTCCTCTTCAATTTTAATATTGAACACTAGATAAGAATAAATAGCTTCCTTTTGATGTTAAGAGTAACCATACAAGTTACACATGTCCCAAGATCCTGAAGGAACTGGCTAATGTGGTGGCCAAGATGTTCTCCATCTGCATTTAAAAAGTCATGGCTGTCGGGTGAAGCTCCCAATGACTGGAAAAAAATTAACTCCCATTTATAAGAAAGGGAGAAAAGAAGACCCAGGGAACTACAGGCTCACCTGTCAGTGCCTGAGAAGATCACGGAGCTGATCCTCCTGGGAGAGATTAAGGCACATGAGGAATGGGCGGGTGATCCAAGACAGCCAGCACGGGTTGACCAGGGGCAGATCATGTCTGACCCATCTGGTGGTCTTCTATGAAATGACAAGACTCAGTAGTTACAGGAAGATCAACTGATGGCATCTACCTGGACTTCTGCAAGGCCTTTTACATGGTCCCACACCGTATTATTACCTCTAAATTGGAGAGAGATGAGTTTGAAGGATGGACTATTCAGAGGATAAAGAATTGGTTGGATGGTTGTGGTCAGCAGCTCTCTGTCTAGGTGGAAGTCATGACGAATAGTGTTCCCCAGTGACTATGAAGTGTTCCTATAAATGAAACTGTTGGCTCAAAAAAAAAAAAGATGAATAAATCTGAGTATATTCAAGTCAAAGATGTACTAAATAAGTCACCAGATTCCTTCTTCAAGTACACCAATGCTGAATGACATCATGCAGTCTGAAAAACACACTTCTATGAAAGTCATTAACATTCAGGAATGTTTGTCTAGTTCCAACAGAAGAGTTCAGACAGGAGAAGAAAAGTAGTTGCTGATGACTACACATTGAATTATGCAATGCATATTAACTCTCCTGCAGTACATTTGTGGGCCAGATGAGTTGTGAAGATCAGTCACGTCAAGATGAATAGCCTTTCATTCACTTCATCCAGGTACAGCATTGTACCCATTACAATTGTAATCATCTGAACAGCACACACTAAGTCAGCTAGAATCTACCATTGCAGTAGCTCTTAAGTACTTCCTGATGCACTGCCGTGTGGTTGTTTTTTAGATAATGAAGTGTTTCAAATGAAACCATTTAATTTGGCTAATTTTTAGTAGTCTCAAGCAGTACTCATATTTTTGTCTTATCACAGTATTTGTTAGGCACTGTAAAAGTCTTATCTTACAAGATAAAAAAATTTGCTTGCCCACAAACAGTTCTCTCAACTTAATTAACTGAAGTTACTGAATTCATTTATGAATTGGCAAATGCTAGTACTCAAAAGGAGAGAACTTCAAACTGGCAATGCAATTTTTGAAGCTCACACAATGTACCTTCTGAACCAAGAAAAATTACTTTTTGATTCATAACAAGAAGTTTTATTCTATACTGCTGTGCGTATTGATACGATTTATGCTTTCACAGCACATGAACAACACACCACTAGATGTAGCAGCACAACTGCTTTGCACACCTGCTAGAAAATTACCTACTAGGAGATACAAAACGAAGTTGACTCAAAGCCAAAACCACTACATAGAAGAATGTCCTTTATTAACAAAAGCTAAGATTTCATTTTCCCTCTCAACTCCAAATACATAGCTGTTTGTTTATCTACTGGAAGCCAACATTATTGGTAATTCTAATCAAGGTCTTTTATGTACAAGATGAAGAAATGTTTTTGTAGCATACTGATAGCTTACTGATGCAGTTGAGACAAACAAAGGGAAGTAACCAGTGTGAGCACGTTGTCTGTGTGGTTAAGGAGGCTCAGAAAAAGAAACAGGCTACAGTAGATGAGAAGCAGGAGAAGGTTAACTGTGGGAAAGAGTAAACTCCTGCTCATGTTTTGTATAGTGATCACTCTTCTGATCACAAGGAAGGAAAGGAGAGGCTGTAAATACAGAGCTTAAACAAGAGTGCTGATCTGCTGCTGTACAAGTGGCTACAAAATGTGCAGAACATAATACAAGGAGGCAGATGACCACATCAGGCAGATGTGGTGTCAAGTCATATCATTCCAAATTAACAAGTACAGTAATTGTCTTAAGCCTCCAAGTTTCACATGAAAAATGAAGGTTCTTAAAAACCAGGCTCCTATCTCTTTCCACCCTAAGTTTTTTGAGCATTAGGCATTTTAAGGATTAGAAAAAGGCAAATCTTTAATTCTTCCATTCTTTTCAGTGTTTATCCAGTAAAATCATAAAAGATTACAAAAATATACCCCCCCTCCCAAAAAAAAAACAATACAGACATCGCTTTTGAAGTTTTTCACAGCTGCCCACTGCTCAGAACTTGCTTCAGATTCATAACCAACTAGCATTTGTGTTGCTGTTTTCAAATCTCTACTGCACTCCACACACAGACTTAATGCTATATAAATCAAAAGATTACAGAGGGCTTAACTCAGAGATGCTTCCAAAGGACAAATGTGCCATTTATTCTATCAGTCTTATTGCATCCAAATTCCATGTACTGTCCAGCACCAAATACAGCAAACAAACAGACAAAAACATTAACTGTGTGCACACAAACAAAAAATATCCCAATTTTCTAACAGAATGCAGCACTTCTCTTCCTGGAAGGGTCATTAGAAGGCTTTTTATAAAAGCTGTTTTACCTAAAGCTTTATATGAAGACACTTAATTCACCAGAGGATAAGATGGCACTTCAGTTGCTCACAAAAGGAACAACAAAGTAAGTGTAGGTGTGTGCCAAGGGAGCTGTTGAGGGAATGGTTCAAGAAAAGGGAAGGCGGTGGAAGTGTGGGAAGAGACAAGAACAGATGTAGGCAGAGACCTTAGGATTTTGCATTGAGAAATGCAGATTGATTTATAATAATTGAGAAACGCAAATTTTATACACAAGAAATAGAACTTGTGGGGATACGATATCAGAGGAGCTATGGAGGAAGGTAAGAGTGGAGACAATCTGGATGGACTTTAAAAGCTCAGCAAGTAAAAAGAAAAAAAAGCTCTTTTGCCTGTGGCAGCATTAAGGCAGAAAGATACTGGAGCATGACTACAGTGGTCGTGAGATCAGAACAAGTAGAGAAACACAGAGAAAACTGCTCTCCAGCCACAAGCTGAAGTACAAGCCACATACAAAGAACTAGTTTGGAAAGCATTTTAAAAGCAATTTTCACTAGCAATTGAAAAGAAAGAACATACCTGCTGGGACTTTCACAACAAATAACATATCATAGGGAACAATTTAATTTCTCTTCACTGCTTAAATAAACAGCAAACCAAGCAACTGTTCTTTCACACATTTGCATGTGTGAAACCCTAACATTTGCAACCCTAACACTGCACTGTCTGCCCCAACCATATTGACTGGAAATCAGAAAGAAGACAGTGTTCCAGTGAAGACATGGGGCTGTATGTAACCTCACTTGACACAGACGTTGCAGTATACAGGATATGCTGCACTACAAACATGTGCTCTCTTACTGCCTCCAAGAGGAGATCCATGAGCACTGTCACAGACTGAAATGTTTTCCAGCAGAGCATATGCAGCACGAACTTCAGTATTCCCTAGAGATGCTTCCAGTGACTGATTTCACAAAAGATCAAAATAAATAGCATGTGTTCAAACAGCAACTGAATTGCAAGGTGTTATTTACATTTATCAAATTAAAGAAAAGTAACGTGTACTGCTGTAATACATATTATTACTGTTAGCAGTACATTATGTTTTATTCTTATTGTATGATAAAGAAAATCCTTTAGGAAGATCTTTTGCATAAACACATAGCAAATAAATAATATACATAGCAAAAAAAACACACATCTGGCATGAAGAAGAGTGACCAAAACAACAGTACAAAGTGTAACAAACATGAACAGCCATTTTCTTGGCTTTCTTAAAAAAAAAAGAAAGAAAAAAAGTGTCATTAAGTTCCCTAAGTACACTAAGTAACACTGTACCTTGTCAGAAAAGAAATGGGCTACAGGTGTGTTAGTAGAAGGGGTCACACACAACACAGTACTTCCTAAGGCTTGATGAATTGCATGCAGAAGACTCACTTGCCACCCCAGATGCAATCCCATATAGCAGTCCTCCCCCATCCGTTTGTTGCTGAAAGACATGTGTCCCTGGAGGAGGGCTTCTTTCTTGTCTAATGAAGTTGTACAGCAAAGTTTTCACAAGTCTGCTGGTATATGGGAGACTGCAAAGACAAAGAAAACAACAAAGGCTGACTTAGAAGTAGCAAGATTTAGCTCAACTACAGAGCCAATGCTACATATTTTTGTTTGCTGGAACTAGGCTTAGCTTAGATCTTGGTTCTTTTCAGAATCTTTTTGATCACTTCCTACATTTGCAGAATAGCAGAGACTTGTTATCTGCACAGCAAAGACCAGGTGACCTACAAAGCAGTCCTGAGCACTGTGCCACTGTACAAACTAAAAGGGAGAGCACACAAAGGTTTGCCCTTGCAGAGCTACACTGACCTCAGTAGGGCTCTGCAGAAGCACCTTCAACAGCAGTCACAAACATGTTTTGTTCTGAATACTGCCTTTAAATCGGTCTGTGTAACTGTTGTATAATTTCATGCCAAGAAACAAGTCGAAAAATATTTATGCAAAGGAGAGAAAAACTATATTGGTTTAGTTTTTTCTCTGTGCTTTGGAGAAATACAGCAGATAAGAAAAGCATTCCTCCAACTCATGATATGTGGCTGTCTATGGCTGGGGTCAACGTGCAAGGACTAATGCAAGGACTTACACAGTGATTTTGACAAACACAAATGCAATTTGTTGGATGGAAACAGGAGGTAGCAGCTTTTCTAAGAAACAAAGAAGAGGATTTCCAAGAAAAGAAACAGTCAGTTCTTCCTCCCACATGTTGCAGAGGAATACAGACCAGGGCCGTGCTATGGTAATCTCCAACCCTTTTACTCAGTGCCCTCAGACCCTTCATTGTCCTATATGCCCAGCCACTAAACCCTCCACTCATCTCCACTGGCCAGCTACCTGCTACTCCCAGCTTGGACCAACACATTCTGCCCTTCTCCCAGACATTCCCCTCATCCTCTTTCCTTTCCTCACATATCTCACACTACCTCCTGCTTCTAGCAGAAATTGCAGAAACAGATAGTAATTACCCTTACCAAACAGCTGCCTGTATGCAATATAAAGGTGAAAGAGGAGAAACGGCAGTCTGTTTCAAATCAAAAAGCATAGGCAGCCCTTACAGGGAGAACAAATTACTATCAAACCTGTTTCACTGCCTTTGTATAGAAGCACAAATGGTTCAAACAAACCAAACTCCTTTCTATCACTTTATCTAGCTCCAAAACATGACATACCAACGCCCACGCATCAGGTATTTGTGAATGAGGCTCTCCCGCAGAATTTCCTTGTGGAAGAGCTGGTAGGAAAGGAAGACAATGAGCGTTGTCACAGCCTCCAAGGAAATGCTGTAGGTGATATCTCTGCAGGAAAAAGGGAAAATGTATAAAGATTAATTTAATGGCTTTGTTTCCAAACTGACTCATAAGAACATTTCAGTAGCTTCATCTGAGGTTATGCGCTTTACAGAAAGTTTCAATTGAGAACAACCAAACAACAAATTAGAAAAACTCCCTTAGTAGAAAACAATATCATTTCACACAGATAATGCACTATTTGTCATTGCCACAAGCATTTCTTGCTAAATCACGGGACAATGTAAAAACAGTACAGTATTGCCTACAACATTCCAGCTTCAGTTTTCAGACTATACTTCACCTTAAAAATAATAAATACATCTCAAAGACATATACTTTGTCTTGTTAAACAAAACAGTCACAAAAGCAAAATTCTAAGCCTGGGAAACAGCCAGCGAGCCAAACACAACTCCATATGCCAGGAAGAATGGATCGCTACGGAAGAGTTGTCACATACAAATAAATGCTACCTTAAGTGTAAGAAATGTTCAGGATATCACAATGCCACAGAAAGCTGCTCCATTTTCAGAAGTAATTGTGAGGTGACAAAGTATGACATTTAAAGTTATTACAATCCCAAAGAACACTGTGCAATGAATCAACGGTGACTATAGACGGTTTAGCAAATCTCATTAAGCTGAGGTTATTTAGGAAAGGTGCAGCAAAATGGATGGTGTTATTTTGGAGATTCTTTGGTTTCTGTTTTCAATTCTGTAAGTTTATAATAAGTCTATAACAACTTTGTTACATAGCATAGTTTTAAAACAAAATGAAATATTGGTGTAAAGCAATCCTACTCTTGCTTTCAATGCTTCTATGGCAGTTGTGGGTCAGAGTTTGAGGAAAAGGATGAGGAAGGTGAGTGTTACCTGTTCAATATCGCCAGCAAATGGGAACAACTACTTCCTGGACCAAAGTCCTGCACACTCCAGAGCCACACCACTTCCAATACAAAGAAGTGTTTGAAAGAGAAGGTTATGCCAATTGCTGTTTTTGTTTCCTCTGGTCTGATTTAAGTATTGGAATCTGTAACGCTTACGTCAGGGAGAGACTTAGGCCTAATGAACTCCCTTCCTTGAAATCACACAGTGCATTTCAGTTACCCGACTCTATGCCTGCTGCACAGGGAGTTGGACAGTGCTGAGAATCAGAGCAGGCTGAGGTTGCTGTGAGCTGGTGCCATGCAGACCCAGCTGTGCCAGCAGTATGGCTGGGCTAGGGATGCCCGCAGCCCCTCACCAACAACCTGTGCTCTGCAGTTGACCACGCACATCAATCCCAAGCAACACGAGGAAGAGCTAGGTGTGCAGATTATTAGAAATTCAGTTGCCAGACAGTAGTTCTTTATTTTTTTTCCTAGTAAAATAAGCGCAAGAGCTTAGAAGAAACACTTCCTTGCTATACAAAAAGACAGCAGCTTATTTCCAAGGCTGAGAATATCAGAATGTCTCCAAGTCTGGGTTGACGCTGATGTGATGCATGAGAAGGACAACTGTGACATGCTGCAACACCCAAAGTACTTGGGTGTAAAACAGCCCAGATGTCTCTGCATCTCAGCCATTTCTTTGCTTGTTTTTCTGACCCACCATAAACTGGAAACACAAATCTGAGATGTTACAAAATGCTTCTCTATTTTTATAAGACTCAGTTTAAGGTAAAAAACAAAGAAGTTAATGTATAAGTAATTTTTGAAAATAATAGGCTTACATAATCATCGTTATATAACTGAAAAGTCAAAATAAAGCTGAATTCACACAGCTCAAGCCCTTTTCTTCCTATTCAAAATCCAATTAAGGTCCGTTCGACTGCAGATACTTTTCACTCAACCTATAGAACCTCTTCAAATTAAATCTGCTCTCTCAATCTCAACTGGGGGCCTAATATCCATGGTAACCCATAAGCCACACACAACCTTAATTATCAGCAGCACAATGATAAGGCTTCAGAACTAAATCATTTTTTCCACCCGGGGTCAAGTGCACAGTTTTTTGAATTCCAAGCACTTGCAAAGGGGCACAAGAACTACTGGGAACATCTTAATTTCAAAGAAAATTCTGTTTAATTGTATAGACAGACTACACAACTTTGGGGCGAATCGATTTTTTTTCATTATTATTAAAGCTATCACACGTACAGAATGACCTTACACAGAATTTATGCTTATCTTTGACTTCCTCTTAAAGCTGTTTGCTTGCAGATGAGGAGGAAATTAGAAATAATGAACTCAAGTATCAATTACACGCCAGAATTACTTAGCTCTTCATGTCAGAAAAGCAGAGGAACTTCATGTTTAATTTCCGCCGTTCTTTTTCTTTCCCAGTGCCTTACACACCTCAGATAAAGCTCATGCCTAAAGCACATGAGTTTCAGACAGCAGTGCACCAAACCACACCGAAATCTTTATCTCCCCACTCCATACTACAAGCAGCTGCTCTCCCTGGTTTCACATTCCCTGTCTTTTAACCACACTGAATACCTCCACGTTCTTGCATGTCATGTCCAACCTCAAACAGACATCTGGGGACCAATTTTGTTTTACAGTTTAAAGGTGTGTATCTACAGACACATCATATAGCTTAAGATAATTACAGCTATATAAATTCTTCAAAAAATTATGGACTTGAGTGAAAAAAACACAAGAGCTTTAGATGAGTAACAATTTTATGTATTTATTGAGCACACCGTTTAGTAAATCCACTTATCTATGAGAAAATTAGTCAATTAGGTGTTAGCTAATTGTGTACTACAAAGTATTAATATACACATTTTCATAAGTATATTCTTCCTTCCAATAAGCAATGCCATCTAATCATTTCAAGTTTAATGAATGATTTAAACTACTGTACACAATTTCTAGTACAGCAATGCTTAGACAACAAATAAATCAATAAATCAAATGACAAAAGATTTGAAGAAGTCAGTTATGGTTTCTGTCTAATTCCTCTGCCAAGGAGACAGCAGAGATGCTGGGCTCCCCCTAAAGAGCACTGCTTTAAAGAAGCACTGCATTTAGACTTGGAAGGAATTGATTCTTATGAATATTTTTAAAGCAGAAACTGATTCTTCTGGGATGAAACCTTGAAGGAATAACACTTCTGATCATCCATCAAGGACATGCACCTTTATTTCCTGGCTCACAGATCAGCCACCACAAATAACACTTTTTCCCTTTTACATTACCAAGCACCTGCTTCTGCAACAGGGACGCAGGATCAGTAATGCTGCTCCTTATGCTTTAGCCAGCACATGTGGTAGCAGGGGACATGTATAAGCCCCAGGCTTTATCTTTGTGCCTGAAACCTCAAGCATCTTCTTCTTCCTCTACCCTGCCTGGATCAGAAAGGGCTGTCAGAAACCATTTCTGTAAGCTCTGATAAAAGCCTGTCATTTTCTCCTGCCTTTTCTTCCTCTTTCCAAACTCTCCACGTTCCCTCCCATCTACCTAGCCATTGTTTCATTCACATTTTGAAAGAGATGTGAGTGATGAGATTAGCTGTGGTGGCAGCTGTGAAGCACAACTGACCATTCAGCCATACATCACTCCTCACAAGGCCTTCTCTGTATAAGGATTTCACCTCATCCTTCTGCAGTTCTTACAGGCAGTTATTTCAAATGTGCCACAATGCTGACGCCGCCTTTTCAAGTTCCAAATGCATAAAAAAAAAGTGTTCCACAGTCAAAACAGTAATTGTTAACAAGAATAAAAGATGATGTTTATGATAGAAACAGGAAAAGAGCACACAAAAGCAGACAGTAATCTGTCTGAGCAGTAACTTGAACACTTGCCATAATCTGCGTGCACCCAGAGCCCAGTGCTCACAGTGCATGGTACCATGCAGCAGACAGCTACCCTGCCACATCAACAGGTTTCGTGGTGGAAAGAAAATGCTGAAGTAGACCAAAAGGTGAAGATCATAATACAAAAGCCCATCAAAAAATACAACACCCAAAATACTTATCTGCTTCTGCAGAGTGAAGAAAAAGCAAGCAAGATCAGAGGATGATGCTACCAGTGCCTTATTTGTTAAGGTGAGTGGCATTTAATTCGGTTGATGGTTGGATGGTCTTGTAGGTCTTTTCCAACCTTGGTGATTCTGTGATTCTGGTTCTATTGGCATATGATGGAACTGTCCTCGACAGAACAAGAGCTACAGTCCTAGCCAAACAAGTCCCCACTGTCCCGGCATTTACGTTCTTCCATTTAAACTAATAAGTGGATGTGAACAACCTCCTCCCAGTGCTACCTAACCACAGTCTACCTACTTTTCACTACCCTGCTGCTGTTAGCCTCTCTCCAATGCCAAGCAATGCTCACCACTGCTTGCTGTGCTCACATCATTCCACTTTGTTCCCTGCCAGGAGACAGGTGTGTGGAAGAAGAACTAAAATTAAGCATAGAGGTAATGTTCAGGGAAATCTCTGCTAGGAATGAAACAAATTAACACCTCAATTAAATGCAGCTATTTCTACACCTTAGCAAACAGGATGAGAGGCTATAAGTGATTTCATGCCTACAGAACAAACAGGTTGAGCACTCACAAACAAACCCCTGAAATCGAACTCCCTCCTTGCTTAAACACTTCCCTGAATTTTTCCCCAGCCAAAGCTGTCTACTCCAAGCATTAAAAAGTTAAGAGGGAACTTGTTTTCTAGTTCAGGACTTTTGCCAGCATGGCTGATTCATAGAAAATCTCTCCAATCATACAGGAACCAGCCTTCATTTCCCTGCTTCCTGATGGCCCACCAGAAAGGTGAAAAAGGAGTAATCAAGAGAATAGGAGAAGGGCTGGAAGCTGAAAAGCCAGTCGAGGATCTGATTATCAGCCTGAGGATACATGTACAACAACTCCAAGTGGACCTAATCTTTCCTCCTGGAATCACTCCTAACTTTACACTCACTGATGGCAAACATGCACTGCAGCAGCTAATAACAATGTTCATCATAGATTTAAATTATTCTTGAGAAAGCAAAGAGTACCTCTGACATTTCCTACTGCATCTCCCTCCACCAGCAGGTATTCTTGACCAGGAGACAGTCAAGTGATTGAGAGAACAAGTTAACAAGGTGGACATACTCTAAAGGTATGTAATGGATAAAAACAATAGTGGTATCCAAGACATTTTATTCCAAATCTATACCTAAACCGTCTGAGACCATGCAACCACATGCATCTTCACCCCACTGGCATTCAGTTCTTTCCTCTACAGACAAAATATTGTAAGTAGTCTGGGAGTTTTAAGTGTTATACACACAGCTATATCCTTCTGTGTTCATTTTTTCGTATAAGCAGGACTTGTAAATATTGGGTATGGTGTGGATAGGTTCGTAGTTGGACTTGATGAATTTTTCCAACCTTAATGAACCTATGTTCTAAACCTCAGTGAAAGACCTCACCCTTTGAGCAACAGAACACAAGACAACAATCTGAATACTCATAAAAACGTATGGCTCAAATGACTTCTCCTAAGTAGCTGACAACTCCAACTCCAAGGGAAAAGACAGCTGCAGAGATGACAGTCAGACAACAAACCATATCACGCTCCAGTGCATAGCCTGCAGGAAAGACTGACCTGCTCCATCAAGAAGAAAGGGCTTTGTGACATGGCTTCTCCTTAGTCTTGCCTCTTTAGTTGGAGTAAATGGCTGGAGTAGATGATCTGATAGTTGGACTTGTTTTCCAACCTTAATGATCATATCATTAACAATTGTATGAAACGTCAGACATTTATATCAAGGCAGAGCCATCTTAATGAAGGGGCACTTGGTGGCAACAATAATTGCTTCTGGTCTAATGGATGGCCAGATCATGGAGGAAAAAGGCTTCAACTGCTGGCTGGGTAATGGAGAAAAAGACTTCAATCAGGCAGCAGTCAGTGATGTGAGACCACCAAGGCACCAAAAAGACACGTACTGACTCCAGTGCCTTAATGCCCTTGGTACCCAGCCTAATGACCAAACCAAAATACTAGCAAGTGGGTGTCTTTCAAAATGCTACATCCAATAGCTTCTGTTAGAACAGGGCTGAAAACCACAGAGAAAGAGCATGACCAGGAACTTGACTGTACTGCACGGTGTGTAACAAACAGCACCAATCTGATGCTGTGATCAGTGAGGCTGGTATACACCAATGGGCACTAAAGCTGGCCTAGAGAAGGGAAGGTCATAAGAAGGAACACTGATCTAACGTAGAAACTAAATTAGAATGATATTAGAACAAAGAATGTGACACAAAGATTCTTCCACGTAGGACCTTCAAATACTTAAAAGGCCACAGATTTGCAGTGAGAAAAAATGATCTAAAGATGATGAAAATTCTTCAAAATTACTAGACATCCACTGACTCAAGGCATTTCTACTCAGCCTGGCTGATGAGCAGAGCCTTGCAGCAGACTGTGCTGCATGTCACATACAACAGCACACATCAAACCAAACCAAACCAGTTACTGGTTTGAAAACAAAAAAAATATATATATTGAAATATGATCTACAATCACACAGTTCTTAACCCCTTTGCTACTTACAATCAGCAAACTAAAAAAGCCTCAGCAATTCTCACTATCTATAAATGGCATTGGCTGTATGCATTGACAGTTCTACTGATCTTCATGATCAATTCTACCTTCATTCTTCCTCCTAAAATTGATTCTTAAGCTCTCAGAAAACACAAAGAACATCCTCACACGAGTCACACACTGTTAACATTTAAGTGTGGAAGTAATTAAGATTGCAGCCTAAAACAATTTTAACCATAAAAAAATAATGGAATGTAATAGAAATATCAACTCCCTTCCACTGGCACCACAGGGTGCTACTTAGCAGTGATATAACCAGATCACAGTATTTCATTTTCCTTCCACATGCATTTATAGCTATTAATGAAGTGAAAATGTACTGATAACAACCAGATGTTCCATTACGTACACCAGCCCTTAACAAGGTGCTGAAAGCAGCCTTTATAATTTTAAGCTTTGGGAGCTCTATCTCACAACAGTTTCTACATAAAACTTGTAAGGTTAAACCCTGAAGTTGTACCTTTTGCTGACTATGCAATTTTGGTCATTAATGTACACTCTTGGGTGCTAATGTTAGTAAGACCAAAGAAAAAGCAGAGTACCCATAGGACACCCAAGTGAGTCAAAAAACAACCATCAATGTACTGCAACACAAGTGTAAGAAGAGACTGCACAAGTCTAATTCATGAAATGCAATAACTGTCATTTCTATAAAGTTTCTTACATTTAAATGTTGATACACAAAACCTTCCCTGCTGGCATTTTGTACAACACAGCAGAGCCTATTTTTCATGAGGGTTATTCAAGATCCTCTCAATAGTTTTCAGATACTGGGCCACAGCGATGCAAAGCCCCACGGTCTCTGATACAATTTGCATTAGCTGCACTGAGTGCAGCTGCCAGGAAGGATATTTACTCCTCAAAATAAAGCCAACGTTGAAAAACAGTTTCTTCCATTCCTAGTTAACGTTCCTCGATATGCTTTGCTATACAGCTCTGGAGCCTTGCCCAGCAAAAATCAGCAGATTTTTTTTTCCTTCAGTAATTTTCCAAATATTTCCTTCAGTTATATACAGGCTGGATATTAGAAACAATTTATTTTCAGAGTGGTGATGCAGTGACACCACAGGCTGCACAGGGAGGTGGGGGATTCCCCATCCCTGGAGGTGTTCCTGAAACGTGGAGATGTGGCACCTGGGAGACACGGCCAGTAGGCATGGTGGGGTGGGTTGGGGCTGGGGATTTCAGAGATCTTCTCCAGCCTTCATGATTCTATTGCTCTAAGTGCACTGACTTCTTCCACCAAAAGGCACTTAATATGATAATAGAGAACAATTTCAAAAGTGAAGTTTCCGTGACTGCTGTACACGTGCCTCTGCTCCTGTGTTTTGGATATGGGGACAGTGTCAAACACACTAAAATTAATCCTAGTGTTTTATTGAAGGAGAAAAAAAAACATTAAAAGCAGGATCTGGAGAAGATATGAATTCAGACAGCAGATGCCTCCAGTACTCCTACATGAAGGTGTATCTACAGAACCCAAATACATGGTAATTGTGATAATCCTCTGCTAAAACAACTGAATATTTCTAAAAAAATCTGCTATTATGAATTACATTGCAAACACAGGCTGAGCATGCAGACTTTAACAATCTGTGCCACTGCAAGTAGCCTATCCTCCAGCAAGGGACCCAAGTCCCACTTCACAAATCATTACACTTGAATACTTCATGTAGTCCACTCAACCAATTCCATCCCCAAAATCATCTGCTAAGCCTGAAATTTCCTTGATTTATTCCAGCTATAGAAAGAAGATAACTACTTCCCTGATAGAAAGTAATGAAAAAATGATAGTATAAATCTGATCAGGGAGAAAGGAAATTAAAAAGTAATCATGCCACTGAAATAACTTTGATCAATTTAAAAAAAAAAAAAAAAATTAAATGGCCAAATGTCTCAGTTTTATAATATCTTTATGAAGAACAGAGTTCTTTTCACTCTTCCTGCAACAAGCTGTGGTCTCAAGTCTTTCGCCCTGCAATGCAGATACCATGAAGGCCAACAAGCTGCAGGAAACTCTTCCAAGGACCACTGTGTGATTATGTATTTCAGAAAGCCACATTTTCCTCTACCTGCTTTTCCCTATACTACCTCCCCTTCCATGACATGCAAAAAAAATTGTGAGTTAAAGCAGTAATACATAATTAAACATTTTTATACTAGTAAACATGGGAACAATTGACATTTTTGTAAGTCTTAGTACCCTTCTTACTGTTGCTCAAGCTAACAGTTCTGCAGCATGCCATTTGTGGAAAAATATAGGCAAGAAAGCTTATTTGTCAAAAAACAAAACAGGCATTTCCACATCCATCTCTTCCAGGAAGTGAATAATGTTTCTGATACATCTGATCACTGAACATTTTAAACGGGCTTTGTAACTTTTTAAATTAAATCATCAGTGTACAGAGTATTGACAAGGGCTGAGTGCTTTCTACAGATACTTCTGTTCCCAGCATCCACATTCACAAAGTACAGAAGCTGACAGGTTCACCTGTTGAAAAGGGTTAAGAACATGTATGCCTTTAAAACTCTTCCTGCCAGAAAGACAGAACATGATACAGGATTCCATACAAATGATGGGATTTCAATTCAAAAAAGCCTGCTGGACGTATGAATTCCCCACTTGTCTCAATCCTTTCACTCCTCTGTACTTCCCTCTAATCTGCTCCCCTCAAAAAGTGCATCTGCTCCAGGAAGTACCCAACTTTGCAGAATGGCACTAAATTACATCACTAATTCGTTACACAGTGCTACCCAAACCTCACACAATGCTGAGGTGACTGCACTTAAGGAGAGCAGTCTTTCAACTGTTGCATCTTGGTCTGCTTCCCAACCAAGAAGCAATTGAAGTATAAAATAAATCAGAGTTACATACCATACTATACTAAATACTCAGGAACTCTTTCAAAGCTGTGATGCTTTAATTGAAGCAACACGCTTTAGGCACAAACTAAAATGCAATTTAAACACAAACGCAATTGCTGACACGACCTCTGCTGAAGTTCATACTAGAAAAAAGTCAGAGTTAATCTGGGCAGAGGTGGAAAAACATTTTTATTCCTAAAGAACAAAGAAAGTTTACCCTCATTTAAAACTACCAACTGTAAAAAGAAAATTAGTTTTGTGGCACACATAGCCATGGAATGTGGAATCATCACATCTCAAATGAAGCAAACAGAATAACTTCTCCTGATGGTATGAGCTAGGTGCACAATGCTGACCACATCTTTCTTCCAAACTCACGGCTGCGGGTTATCATCAGTACTTCATCACCACATGCAGCATTCAAATCTAAGCATTCAATGCTACGATCTCATCAATGCATGTTTATATTCTCTCAAATGTTCAGCTTTGTGAGGGAGGATGAAGAAAACAGAGCCAACTTACAAGAGGGGAATTTCAACAATGAGCTGGATGAGGCAGCACAGCAGCTCTTCTATTAGGTCTTCACATTCTGTTCCTGAAAATGAATCATAGCAAAGGTTTTCTGGATTTTCAGATAACAAAAGAAAAACAAACCAATAACCCAAAAATAAATAACTCAACAACCTAGATTTAAACAGATTTAAACATAGTTTCAGATGATGAATATTTCTAATTCAGGGACAAACACTAGAAGAAATGTTAGATTTAAAACTACAGCATTTGTAAATAAAATGAAAAGCATTTGGAATTCATACAAACACAGAATGGCCAGGGTTGGAAGGGACCTCAAGGATCATGAATCTCCAACCCCCCTGCCACATGCAGGGCCACCAACCTCCTCATTTAATGCTAGACCAGGCTGCCCAGGGCCCCATCCAACCTGGCCTTGAACACCTCCAGGGATGGACGGGGCATCCACAGCCTCTCTGGGCAGCTGTTCCAGCCCCTCACCACTCTCTCTGTGAAGAACTTCCCCCTGATATCCAACCTCAATCTTCCCTCAGCTTCAAACCATTTTCCCTTGTCCTGCAGTTATCCACCCTTTCAAAGAGTTGACTCCCCTCCTGTTTGTAGGCTCCCTTTAGGTACTGAAAGGCCACAATGAGGTCACCCCACAGCCCTCTTTTCTCCAGGCTGAACAAGCCCAGCTCCCTCAGTCTTTGTAGGGGAGGTGCTGCAGCCCCCTGATCATCTTTGTGGGTCTCCTCTGGACCCTCTCCAACAGCTCCCTGTCTTTCTTGTTCTGGGGGCTCCAGACCTGGACACAGCACTGCAGGTGGGGCCTCACAAGCAGAGAGGGGGACAATCACCTCCCTGTCCCTGCTGGCCACCCCTCTTCTGATGGAGCCCACGATACCATTTGCCTTCCAAGCTGCAGAGCACACTGCTGGCTCATGTTAAGCTTTTCATCCATTCAAGACGCCCAGGTCCTCTCTGCAGGGCTGGATTATCATCAGCGATGCTAGGATTTTTACATGCAAAACAATAGCTACTAACAATTGGAAGTTCCTACTGCTTACCTAAGCTCATATTTAATCGTGCTCTTGCAGACAATTTGACTGACTGATCATCAAGGACTTCAACCAGTCCACAGTTCAAGTCTCCTCTCAAAATCCCCTGCATTGCTCGTGTTTCTCCTTTTTTTTTTTTTTTAATAGCAAGTGAAGAATAAGCAGAGACAGAAAGAAGTTACTTTTGTCTAACATGCACTAAACGATACTTTAAAAAGAAATCTTTCAGAGGAAAGGGTTTCTACAGTGCTGAATGCCTAAGAGCAAGCAAAGCCTTTTCCTCTGCAATGCCAAATAGGCATTGCAGCATTCAGCACAATGAACACACAATTCTTGTTCATTTTGTGCTTTCAAATAAGTAGGTCATGCAATAAACACAGCACTACAGCCAGGTTATGACAGTGTCATTCTGCTTAACCCAAACTGTAAAATCTGTGATTCCAAAACTTGATTTCAACAAATGCATCAAAGGGAACATTCAAAATAAAGCAAAATTATTTCTTTCCACAATCAATTTATTAAAAACATATTAACAATTGTCACCTAGTGAATTGCACATTCAAAATGAGTGAGTTATTTTAATCACAGAAACACGGTTTCCTTCATATAGAACCTCCCAAGAGCAACACAGCGTAGCTCCTGTTAGCTGAAAACAAGAACTGCTAGGAACATTTAACATTAGACAGAAACCACTGCCAGCATTGAAGCCCAAATAATGTGTGCTAAAGGCACTTGAAGGTGTCACTTTTGAAAAGCTTTTTGAGTCTATAAAATGCCAGACTGCTCCACAACATCAAAAGGGTCCTATTGTGTTTGGGTTTTTTTCTCTTAATGGTTGAGGAAAGCGAGAAAAAGGACAAAAAAAAGTAACAACAGTGCATTTTGAGAATATTGTTTCCAACATAATCTATTACACAACTTATTTGAAGAGTGAGTAATGTTATTTGAATATTAAAGAGGGTTTTTCCCCATACTTTATGTTCAAACTAATGCAAGAAAGACAGGATTGGCACAGTTATGCAGGATGGAAGATGCTTGCCTTTCCTTTCCTGCTCTGTTCTCAAACTTTTTTTTCCTAAAAACCTTAATTGCTGTAATCAATGTCATTCAACCAGAATAATTAATGTATCCTTTCCCCCATTGGGGCACGGGCATTCTTGCTTAATTCTTGTCTTTCCAAACAATGACACTGATGCATGCCAAATCTATAACGTGAGAGCAAGCCATAAACATGGAGCACTTCATGTTTTCATAAACAATATCTTTTTCAACAGCAGGATAAAGACAATACACACAACACTCATTCACATTCATAGAATCACATACTTGGATCCATGGAAAGCCTTGGGGAAAGTAAGTAAAGATTGAATCTGTCCAGACAAGGTTAGAGCTATGATATGGGATCTCACATAGGTAATAAAACAGCATTGCTTCTCAAATACCAACATGTTACGTTGTCACAAACCCAATCTGAGATACAGCAGCAGGATGTGCCCAACATTAGTAACACACTGACACAGCAAGGTATAACTTCAGCTTAGATGCCACCTGTTTTTCTGTCCTATTGCTCCTATAGATTACATAGAACCTGGACACCACTAAAGCAATAAATCAAATTCCTTGTGCAACAGTACTTAAAGCCTCATACATGCAGTTAACTGTACAACCCACAGACTCGAAGCTTCTCTTGCTATTGTGGTTAGATCTTCAGCTCCCAAGGGTTCCCAACTTTCCCTTAGCAGTGCTAACAATGAACGCGTGAACTAATGCTACCCTTCTTTTCCTGTACACAATAACTGAAAGCTCATGCAATTCTGTAGGGGTTCTGGTGAATATATGGTTGTTTATTTCCCCCCCTATATCCTCCTTGCCCCTCTGCCCACAGTTGTCTGCCAGGAAAAAACAAGACTACTGCGTGTCAAAGCCCAGGTACGATCTCAAACAAACTGTACATTTTCAGCTGCTTTCTTTCCAAGTCAGTAGGCACTCTGGGATTCTTTTGCGTTTGTTATAATGTACCAAATATAGTCTTTGGCAACTTTATGCTAAAAACTTCTACACTGAGAATGAATAAAGTTTATTACAGGTCAAGGAATAGGCAAAATGAATCAACAATTTTCTTTAGAATACAATACATAGCACATGCCAATCTCTCCCAACTTCTCAATCACAATACAGTTGAAAAACCCATAGAAATTAAGGGATACAGGCAACAGAAGCCTTACCAAAAGCTAAACGATCTGAAGACTTACTCCAGCTTCAGCATATGCTAAGTCTAATTTAGCACTGACTGATACCAGTAATTTTCAGATGAAACTTAAAGGACATGGTTTAAGTGTCAATGAGGATTTTCCTACAACTGAAATTGTGTAATACTCTCCAGAGCTGCATTCAAGTTCCCAATTATGAGTGAAGAAAAAGGGTGTACTTCCTCCAGGCATAAGGAACCACCTGAAAACAGCCGTGGGTGAGAACTTCTATTAAGAGTCTGAGTATTCTGGAAGGAATTCAGTAAGCCCTCCTGCAGCAGAGACTGAGCCCTGTGCCACTCGTTCATCAGAACATTACAAAGGTAGGCTGCAACGTACCCTTGTACTTAACCTTTCTGCAAGGGGAAAAACTCCAGTAATCACATCCTCTGATGTGAAATAACATTACAGAGCTTTCTTCTGAACTTAAATACAGTCTAGTAGGAAAAAGCATAAGCTGAACGTCTAGAAAGATTGAAAAAAATGAACTGTAAAAGCTGGGAGGTGATTCTTCCAGGTAAGCATGGTAAAAGCCAGGTAAAGCACCACCGAAATAACAGTAATTGTGTCAGAATAGAAGGCATTTTTCAAAAGTCCATGGCAGAAATATTTCCACAGACCATTACTGTCATATAAAGTTTTGCCTGAAATACCAAACCCACTGCAGGTGCTGATGTTGTGACTGCACAGTGAGCAAACTGAGTGAGCTGACAGTGTGGTTAGGCACTCTGAGCTAACAGGTTCTCTGCTTAATCTCACAGAACATGATAGTAGGATGGATTCACAAGCTAAAAGGAAAAAGAATGGGATGCTGATAGCTTAAACAAGGAAACGAAAAAACTCCAGAGTTTTAAGCTGAATGGTTATGCTTTCCCACAAAAAACACTGATGAATGCAAACAGAAAGTATTAATAAATCTGTATAAATAAATCTGTACAAGCTTCAGAACAAATTGTATTCTAAAGAATAAAATACATACTGTAGAAAGCCACACTTAGTTATGAAAATAAAAGAAACTTTTTTTCTGTTTACTTTAATGAACCCTAACACAAAAGCATTCCATTACACTCTGTAAATTATACTTCACTTTTCACATTGCTAAGTATAAGGACCGTATATACTTAAAAACACTATGCAAAGGATTTGTTAGGAAGAAGAAATGCTGGCTATGTGAACGTGGCATGCTATAAAACCCAGTACCTTGAAGAAGGTATTTCAACTGGAAACACAGCTCAGGAGCAGTACTGGCCTCAGCCCACAGCTGAGCAGGACAGAGAACTGGTTTCCTGCCTTCAGTCTCCTGCCTTAGCCAGCAGACCACACACAATCCTCTTCCTAATCAAGAACATCCAGCTAGCATTCAGCTCCAAGATAACTGCTAAGCACATTCGCCATCAAAGTGCACAAAATTACCACAAGTAAACATCACTGAGAATTACAGTCAAGTGCTACTAAAGATAGGATAAACATGGATCTATCCCAGTGGCAAGTCACTTTGTTTTTTTTTCTTTTTAAATACTGCACCACAAAGAACTCCCAGCATGAGGAATAAAGATTGCTGATGCCCAGGCTAACAAAAATTGTCAGCATTTCCAACTGTTTTCCTGTGCTACACTGAAGCAAGAGGTAGGCAGGCTTTTTTTTTTTTTTTCAGTAAACAGGTCTAAACCCTCAAACAATCTGCAATGACACAGTGCAAAGAGCAGGCACTACTTGCTGCTGCACAGTTAGCTGACCTCATTCTTGGAGATTACTCACCTCAGTTTAAATACATTAAACCATTTCAACATGCAGCACTTAATCTCTTGGCATCAGAAGTTGATTTCCCCAGAGCAATGGCAGGCGCCAAGGAGTTAAAACAGATTTTCATGAGCAGTTTTCACTATTTAGTGAGCAAGCAGCTGTCAGGCATTCTGAGTGGTGTCCTTCCTTGCTGGACTGACAGATGAGGGAAGTCCACATTCATGTATTTTTGGTTACTCTTTCACAATTCACTTGCACAGTATCAGCATTCTGATCCCAGTCCTTTTTGGCCAAGCCATTTTCGGCTTTATATAATAAATATGCAACTACAAAGTCAACAGTATCTTAAAACAAAGCTAAAGAGATCAACATTGTCTTTCCTGCATTATGTACCATGTATTCTGCAAAGGTGTCTTGATACAGTGCTACACAAAGCTTTGTAGCAGGCAACAGGGTTTTGGTTTTTTTGCTGTCAACAGAATACTGAACACATTCATGCTCAGAAAAGACTTTCCTGGTTAGTTACTTCGGTTTGTTTTTCAAACAGATGACAGCAGGACTGCTTATACAACAAAGTCATTCCTTTGCTTCCATTTTTCTTGTTTTACACTTTTTTTTTTTCCCTGGGGAGGACTTCTTCCCTTTAAGACATTCTGTTTAATTTCACTTTTCAGTACTTTGGTAGAAGTTATTTTCCACCAGCTAAATTTTAGTTTCTGCCTTTTCAAGGGATCAAAAAATCATTGCTATTGTCAATATTTCTAAAAATTACAGTAATTCCATTCCCTAGCTGTTGCTGACTTACGGAATATGAGAAGGTAAGCCAAAGAGTATGTTTATTTTTACAATACACTCCTCCTGAAGTATGGCTATACAACTTCCAAGGTATAAGAACAACAATGGATCTTATGTTCAAATGGTGTTCTATGAGGAATACTTCTTCTCTTCCTCCATCATCAGAAGAAAGAGAACCAAGCAATATGATCTATATCTCTTTCCTTCCTGCAGATGAGAGAACAGAGGAGTGAAGCACGTGTGCAAGGTCACAAGTGGCAATCAACTCACAGAACCACAAAGGGAAGGCAACTTCTAAGTCCCAGTGAGCGAGAAAAAGTGGCATTAATCCCCTGATGTCGCTGAAGGTGCTGAACTGTTGAAGTAAGAAAAGTAACATCCTCCCATCTCCGCAAATGGAAGGAATCCAGTCTCCTAAACAACTCCTCCAGTATCAGTCTCAGTAGTGGTAGGAAAGCTACACTCCATTCTCATTTGTTCCTCCCATTGGCTTAGAGGCCATCCTGTGTGTCCTAACAATGTGAACACAGCTCAAGAAGAGGTCTGGTTTGCCATGAGAACCTATAATGTGCTAACAGTTTGTTAACAAATGTTTAATTCTAGCAGAAGACAACAGTAAACAAGTCACTAAAAGCTCTCAGCTCACTTTAAAGATATATTCCTTCATATGCTAGATAAAAAGGAAGATAATTTACACCTAATTATTTCAGACTTGAAAGAAGAAAGCGAGTTTTACTACTGCTTACATATACACATAGATACCTACCATATGAGCCAGGTGTCTTATCCTCATAAGTAAAATGAAGTTGCAGTTCCTCTTCTGACATTCGACTGATGAACACTTTCAGCAAACAGCAGATAATAAATAATGCATTGTGAGCCTGCCAAATAAAGAGGTGACTGCAAAGGAAACAGAAACAGAATCAGTAACATAATGTGAAAACATGCATTAAAAGCAATGATCACAAGATACGTGACATTAACAAAAGAGTTCCTATGGCTGAAGCAAGGAAAAGCTGAAGTGCTCTAAAGCCATTAACTGAGATTCTTTCTGAATACAGGGAGGCTACAGCTTCATTACATTTCCTTGAGTCACAACAAGCAAGCACTGGGAAGCCCATACAGCAGCACAACATCAAGCTGTGTTGATGCATTTATGGATTAAATAAGCAGAAACCATCCAGGAAGGAGCAGCATCTTCCTCCAGATATAAGCAGGGCAATTCTGGCAGCAAGGAGGCATTAAAAAGAACATCTTATTTCTCTCTCTGATGGGAGTCAAATATTTATCAAAGGTTATGGGGGAACAATTGCAGAAAGCTTCCTGGAAGAGCTGTATGATGCTACATTCATAACCTCTTGTTCTTTCCTGCTGCTGAACAGTAGTTGCATAATACAGCCTGAAAGCAGTATCCATATATAGATGTTTCTGCTCAAACCCAATCAAATCTGAAAATAATTTCTAAGGATCTTCATAAATCAGGATTTAGCTAAAAAGTCAGGTAACTTTTAAATATCTCAAAATCAGTAACTTAAGCTGAAATGTCTCCTTTGAAAAATAAATATTCTCTTATCTGAACCCTTACACCTATCATTAAGTTTCCTACCATGCAATAATTGGCCCCCCACACAAAACCACCTCAAAGGGCTTGGGGGGGGGAGGTTCTCAACTCCCAGCCTGGTAACATAGCATGCTTACTGCATATGTGTAGTCCACAGAGAAAATTAGGACAGCAAGCCCCCAGGAATGCATAATTGGGAAGGCAAAAAGTAGCCTGAAGTCACATCATTTTCACATACAAATATGCTTATCTAGCACAGTGGACAAACATTCTTTTGTTCAGATAATACATTTATCAGTTATACTTCATACTCTATGCTTGATAAAGTGTTAGACACTTTCCTCATCTCAAAAAATGACTTAAGGGAAGTTTAACTTTGTTCAGTAACTATGTTAACTGGTAGAGCATAACTCCAAAGCTAGAAAAAAATTGAAAGTTTAAGTGTGAAAAGGCACCCACCTTTTTTCCCAGTACTTACTTTTGACATTCTGCTGATATTTTTAATTCTTTGGTTCTAGAAAGAAAGACTTTAATCAACGACCCAAGGTTTCCTGTTCGAGGATTCTTCTCCACTAGATGAGGAATTACAAAGACACAATTAAATAGCACTTGTAAGTTGAGACAATTTAGTTCGAACTGTATGTTCAAACTGTAGAATGAAAACAAATGTCAATGCCTTAAATATTTCTGTAGAAAGTATGATACTTGTTTTCCTAACCAGTGGTTACTCTATTTTTAAGATTTTCCATGCTTTACTACTCCATGATTGTTCTGTAAAATAATTTTTGTTCTAAATGAAAAATATTCCAGTGTGAAGCTTCTATGGCTCCCTTTCCAAGGCTTACATAGAGCTTTCTATCAGGAAGCTGAGCAGTTTTCCACTACTTGCAGCCTCTTGGTAATATACGAATGTGGTCAGTGATTATTCCTTCCTTTCACCCCTGATTAATTCTTCTCCCTCACTGATTATCTTTGAGGGCAGGAGGAAAAAGAGGTAGCAAGGATGGAGTTATTTGTTTTAAACCTTTCTATCATTTCATGTTTTACAAAAGAAAAGCTAGCTTTCTAAAGGCTTGGAATACATAAACACACTTGACACTATTCTAATCTTACCAGTAGAACACATACAGAGTTACATACACAAAAGATGTGAATGTGTACATCTACATTCCTAACTTTTTTGCTCAACCAAATGGAAACAAGATCTTTAGTTTCTCACCTAAAGATTTGCAGACTGAGATGGTTGCTTCTTCCAGAAGTTTTAAGTCAGCACTGTGGGAAGGGGAAAAAATGGTTCCATTAGCAATTCAAGTTCCATTACTTGAAGAGAAAATTCATTACAAAACAGTAAAACATTGTAGAGTGCTTCATTTTAACAATACATTAGCTAGTTTACATAGATACTGAGCAGTACAGTATGCATTTGAAGTACAGGAAACTAATATTCAAAAATTAATCATCAATGAGACATCACTGAACCATTTGTTACAAGTATTACCTCTGCGGCTTTGACGCTGCCATGCTTGGTTTGATGTCACTGAAATTAGGCATTAGCTATACAGCAAGTTTGATGCTTTCAAAATGGCATATACCACTGAAATACACTGATGTGATGCAATATATAGCCCATTGATTCTGTACTTCTTTAGATTTCCAAATCCAGTTTTGCACCCCAACACTGTCCTACATTTTTGCATAGTCTCAGCTTGTAATTACAGTAATATACAGTAATCACATATCAGTCCGCATGATCTCAATGAGAGAAGGCATTAAAAAGAATGACTTAAAGGCAGTAAGGAAGACTTCTCTGTAAGTGCTCTAGCTGACTCTCCTCTCCCATTCACCCACAATTCAGAGACCATGACAGAACTCTATAGATTTGGTCAGGTCAATTCTCATGTTCCCAGAAAGACCTCAATAGCTTCCCCAGGATCTTTGGATTAGATCTGTAGCTTATCTAGGCAGACATGATTTCCAAGAGTGGCAAAAGCTGGACAGCTCCTTGGAGAAAAAAGACAAAATTTTCCTCCATCCTACCTTAGGATGCAAACACTGAGCATGTAAGAAACCATCTCCACAACACAGTCACATACTAGAATTAAATACACTTTCAAGCAAAAATACTTATATATGTTGTAAGTAGCCTGTATTGAAATACACACAATTCTAATGAAACATAAAAAAAAGCCCATTTCATTCTGAGGACAATCAATTACCAGAATAGCTTGCTTTCAGTTTGTAAAGGCTTCATCTTTGGGGATGCTTAAAACCCAACAGGGCACAGCCCTGGGCACCCTGTTCTGGCTGACCTGCTTTTAGCATGGCATAGGGTAAGGCAAGCCCTTGAGCTCCCTTCTGCCCTCAGCAGCTCTGTAATACTACTCCTTCAGCTCTCCTCTTTCCCATCTTTCATTCCCAGCTATTATAGTAATGACTTAATGACTCATCTTCCTCAATTCTTGCCAAGACATCTTCTGTATCCAAATTTTTATATAATTACCTGTTAATGTTTCTTTTCATTAATTTGCAGCTGAAATCAATAACAGCCTGGACAATCTCAAAACCTGAGCGAGCCTACAGCACCCAACATCATTCTCAATACCATTAGTTTTAAGCTGGAGTAGGACTCATGGGAGAAGACATACAGCTGACATGTCATTAAATGTAAGAAATGAAATATTTCCAAGCAGAAGTATGTTTCAGTATGAGAAACATTTATTGTAAATCATCAACCTGAAACAAACAAACAAAAATTCTTCAACTCTCTTTACAAGCTTTTAATTACAGTGCTTTTCACCAGAGAAGTATCTTTCCCTGTTGGAAAGGTGTAATACAGTAATACCGCAAAACTTAATACAGTCATAATTAGATTACCAAAATTGCTGTTGCTTCCTAAGCATTAGGATTACATTTCCCAGTGAGTAACCTAATTAATATAAAAACAGCTGAGACAGAAGACAAAAAGATAAGGATATTGGTAGGAACAGCAACTGATAGAATTATTTCAAAGGTTTTCAATAGGAGAGACTTCAAGATAGAAACAAACATTTTGATATGCCTGCAACTACTCTATGGATCAGAGTAACTTACTGTGCAGTGAGCCAGCAGCATGCAGCTCTGCACCTACAGCTGAGCATCTTAAGGCATTTTCACATTATGAAGATCGGCTTCATTAAAATCAAATGCTGGCCTTTTTCCTCTTTTAAAAATTGCTTTCAAACATAAGTCTCAGAAAAAGAAAACATACTTAGATATGTGCTTTAAAACATTAAAATCAGTCTCAAAGGTGGTCTCTTGTTTCAATGCTAAAAACATGCACAGTAATTAAAAGCAAATGGTATAAAACCAGAATGCCTTGTCAACAGCTTCTGACATTACTTGCTAGGCCTGGGTGAGACAAAGATATATCTATTTTAAGAATCTAAATTTGTCCATCTGGCTGCTGTCACCAGGATGTGTTCCTTCTGAGCGATTACAAGCATGGTGAACATTACCCTGGACACCAACCCACTGGAGAGCTCTCAGCTACTAAATCACCATAACCCAACAAAAACCATCCACCTCCTGCTATCCAAAGAAGCTCGGTACTTCTAGAATACAGGCTGAGCAATTATTGCAATTGCTTCAGAATTTAAACCTTAAGTGTATATATTAATCCTAATTACAGTTCATTTTTTCCCTTAATTCTTAAGGTGTCAATTCTTAGATGAGTTTTTTTTCCCCTTCCCCTAAGTTATTCAAGCACACAATACTCAAATTTCAAAGAACTGTCAGAATCAATAACCAAACCAAGCAAAACCTTCAGAATTTCAGCAACCCTTTCAATATCTGAGCCAATCTTTTTGCTACCAAAACAAAAATGAGCTTTAACACCTTGGAAAACCAACCCACTCCTTCTCCTTCACACAAGAACATAGACCTGAACTTTGCCATCCCGATTACTAGGCAACAACATCCACCCAACTCAAGGAATGGAAACACCCAGTGAGAGCATACTGCAGCAGAACACAACCCCAACACATGCACAGAGGGAAAGAAGTGTTCTGAAATCCAACAGAATTAATGCTGTAACTATTACACCTCCAAGGACTGATCCACAAAGAGAGATGTGGAGATGACATTCGCTTAATGAATAAACATAGAACTGGAAGGCTAAAACTAAAACACCCCTCCTCCCACTAATCCATACAGCAGCACTGGTAACATTCAACTTTTTCAGCAAGAACATGAGTGGACTGAAGCTCAAGCAAGTCCCAGAGGACTGGAGGCTTGCTGATGTGACTCCCATCTTCAAGAAGGGCCGTAAGGAGGATCTGGGGAATTATAGGTCTGTCAGCCTGACCTCAGTACCAGGGAAAGTTATGGAGCAAACCATCTTGGGTGAGATCGCACGGCACGTGTGTGGTGTCCAGGGGATCAGGCCCAGCCAGCACAGGTTCATGAAAGGCAGGTCATGCTTGACCAACCTCATCTCCTTCTGTGACTGGGTGACCAGACTGGTAGATGAGGGAAAGGCTGTTGATGTAGTCTACTTAGACTTCAGCAAAGTCTTTGACACGGTCTCTCACAGGCTTCTTCTGGGGAAACTGGCTGCCCATGGCCTGGACAGGTATACCCTTCTTTGGGTAAGGAACTGGCTAGAGGGCTGTGCCCATGGGGTGGTGGTTAATGGAGCTAAATCCAACTGGCAACCCGTTACAAGTGGTGTCCCCCAGGGGCGGTACTGGGGCCCATTTGTTTAATATCTTTATTGATGACCTAGATGAGGACATTGAGTGTACCCTCAGTAAGTCTGCAGATGACACCAAGTTGGGAGGTGGTGTTGATCTGCCTGAGGGTAGGGAGGCCCTTCAGAGCGATCTAGATATGCTGGATCACTGGGCTGAGGTGAATGGGATGAGGTTCAACAAGGCCAAGTGCAGGGTCCTGCACTTTGGCCATAATAACCTCATGCAGCACTACAGGCTTGGGGACGACTGGCTGGATGACTGTGAAGAGGAAAGGGACCTGGGGGTGTTGGTTGATGCTTGGCTGAACATGAGCCAGCAGTGTGCCCAGGAGGCCAAGAGGGCCAACGGCATCCTGGCCTGCATTAGAAATGGTGTGGCCAGCAGGAGCAAGGAGGTGATCAACCCCCTGTATTCAGCACAGGGAAGGGCTGCAACTCAAGTACTGTGTTCAGTTTTGGGCCCCTCACTACAGGAAAGACATTGAAGCCCTGGAGCGTGTCCAGAGAAGGGCAACAGAACTGGTGAGGGGTCTGGAGCACAAGTCTTATGAGGAGCAGCTGAAGGAGCTGGGATTGGTCAGTGTGGAGAAGAGGAGGCTCAGAGGAGACCTCATTGCTCTCTACAACTTCATGGAGGGAGGCTGTGATGAGGAGGGGTTTGGCCTCTTCTCCCAGGCAACAAACAGGACCGGGGGAAATGGCCACAAGTTGTACCAGAGGAGGTTTAGGTTGGACATAAGGAAGAACTTTTTCTCCCAGAGAGTGGTCAGGCACTGCAATGGCTGCACAGGGAGGTGGTGGAGTCGCCGTCTCTGGCAGCGTTCAAGAGGAGCCTGGATGAGGGGCTGCGAGATCTGGTTTAGTGCTTGTGGTAGCAGTGGTGATGGGAGGATGGTTGGACTAGATGATCTTATAGGTCGTTTTCAACCTTGTGATTCTATGTACTAACCTTGTATTCTAAGTACTAACTCCCTCTGAAAACACCACATCCAAAGAAAGGAATTGCTTTGTTAGATGCTCTGAAGATCACTGTCTGGGACAAAAACATCTAAAACGCATTTAAATCGATCCTTTTGAACACATTACACTTAACTGCAATGAAGTAACCACAGCAGAATCCTATGGAGTACGTGGAGGGAACAGCTTTTCAGAAAAGAAAGGGAATTACATAGATCCAGATGAATGTGAAGTGCAGGATTACTTCCCTCACACTTGAGGAAAAAGTTTAAGGCTTCACAGGAATGCCCTCTTCTTCTGTGATCTGTTGGCCAGCATTTTCAAAGTCCTTCATTAAAGCAAAAATTTGCTCTCTTGAGGGAATATTCCCAGACTTCAACAAAACTGTCATTAAAGGTGAAATCCGCTTCCTGACTGCACAGAATTCTTTCAAGAAAGTAGTTTCAACTAGGTATATTTTAAAGGCATCAAGGCACTTGTGGAAAGACGTGGTTTAGTGATGGGATTCAGCAGGTCAGGCTGATGGCTGGACCTGATGACCTTGAAGTCTTTTTCCATTCTAAATGATTCTGACTCTGAAAATGCAGCTTTTACATTGGCAGTGGTTACTGCCTTAAAACACCCCAGCACAGCAAGCAATAAGGACATTCTGTATACAGACTGCCACTACCAACCCTTCTAAACACATACTACAGGTCATTACATCTTTTCTTTCCTATTGAGGAAGATAAATCCCTCAAAAAGTGTATTATTCTATAAATGCCACCTGAAGGTCTGATGCACACTTTCAAGTTAACAGCAGAAGAGTGAAGGGTTGTAGAGCTTGAAAAGGGCAATACCCATTTGGCAGTAGATGAGAGAACAGCGCCTTTTTTCTGTGTTCTCTAAGAAAGCAAGAATTCTGGTTGCAAGTGGACTGTAAACACAATGGAAAATATTGTAAGTTATGTCCTACTGTGTTTGGTTTTTTAGTTATATATATATATCAAACAGAAACAATTTATTTTGATTGTTCCACTGCCCCTTTCTTTTACAAAGTAAAGGACTATTTCACAGCTCAATTTGGAGCTTTTCACATTTTCTAACGAACAAATGCCAAAATTATGCAGTGCTACAACATACCCAAGAAGTGTTAGGTCCAATAAAAGGATTCATTTCCCTACTGCCTTTTCTTTTTGTATTTTTCCTCTTCCTTTTTCCCTACAGCACTGCCATACATAGAACAAACCAACTTCCAAAGAAGCATCCAGAGAACATGATCCTGTTCTACCTGAGGATTCTGTCAGTCTCATCTCTGCAAAAAGATGAGGAAATAATGTCTTTTGCTCTACCTCCATGAAGACAACACAGCACTTGTATGGCTCACAGCAGCACTTGCAAACCATCACCTATTATAAACATAACTTACAACAGCCTAGTGTAAAAAGTATCATTCACAAAGAGGAAAAAAAAACATTAAATTCTGTCTTGCAAGTGGAAATTGGCTCCTTTCTGTACCTGCCAAAACCCAGCACCTCACTGCTGTCAAATGTATGACCTCCACTCAAGCCTCATTAAAACAAGCAGAGTTAACTTGATACTCCGCAAGCTTTCCATCTCTAAAATGAACATTGACCTCTATTGTACTGCTCCCGCAGGCAAGGTTATCTGATTTAGACAACGGCTGAGGATGCTGCGCAGCCAACATCATTTGACATCATTTGTCAAACCATCCTCTCAGGTAGATGCAACTTAATGGGAAATATCAGCTTCCTTTCAATTACACTGCACAAAGGAGGCCTCTAAAAATAGATCCCTTCTCGCTCCCAGGCAAGAGCACCATCTGGTGTTCAGTTAATTAAGCCTTCAACCTGCTTTTGGATAAAGTGGTTTTTTGTGTTTTTTTTTTTTATAATATGTATTCTTTAAGTTTATTTTTAAATGAGCCAACTCTGCATTGGATCTTAGAGCATGAAATAGGCACATCAAAAGCTCCAAATCGAGCTGTGAAATAATTCTTTACTTTGTAAGAGAAAGGGGCAGTGGAACAATCAAAATAAATTGTTTCTGTTTGATATATATAACTAAAAAAACAAACACAGTAGGACATAACTTATAGTATTTTCCATTGTGTTTACAGTCCACTTGCAACCAGAATTCTTGCTTTCTCAGAGAACACAGACAAAAAGCGCTGTTCTCTCATCTACTGCCAAATGGGTATTGCCCTTTTCAAGCTCTACAACCCTTCACTCTTCTCCTGTTAATTGTTGGCTATTCTCTCCATGCAGAAACCAAAATTCTTCCTCTTCCTCAACCACTACAAAAACAGAGGTTTTCACCTTAACCATTTTCCCTCCAAAGAGTCTGAACTTCAGCTTACAGGCACAGTAATACAACCCAGGTAGATTATCTATCAGCTTTCCTAGATGCTATGAAAATAAATGTGGTCTTTGTCTTTCAAAGACACTGTGAGCAGCATTCAAGACACTGCACAGAAGTATGTCACCACATGTGAGCCATACCTCACTAGAAAGTGTATTCAATCACTAATCTGTATTAAATTCTCAGGAGCTCATGGTGTTCATTACTTTGTGTCAGTTTTTCTCCTTCCAAAAAATATCTGATTAACACTTATGTTGACAGGAGCTGTGTGAACAAATCAAAATTGAAGAATGACAATAAAACTGGCATTAGATTCTTCAACAACTGCAGAAAAAGTGGCTTACTCAAGAAAAGTCACTTTAAAACAAACAAAATTCCAAAAAATCAAATACATACACATACTCACATCCTCTTAAGCATTACAAACTCTATTGCTGATTTCTTCTGGCAGCCAGAGGGAATTAATAGCAATTGCAGCTACAAGGAAGAAAGGAACCCAAAAAAGACAAGATGGTGGTAAGAGTCCAGTTTACAAAGACATTTACTCCCCTGCTGTCTCAAACGGGAATAATGCAAAACAACACATTTGCTTTAAGACTTGTCACTTTTATGGCTATGTTACCAAGGTTTAGTTACCCAACAAACACCATCACTGTACCTGTTTGTGGGAGCGGTGAAGCTGAAGGACAGCAGCTGATTCCAGAAGGGGTCATTCTCAGAGATGGGCTCTGCTCCTGATAACTTCTTCAAGTACTCATTGTCTGGAAGCTCACTGATGCTGCTGCTATTTGCTCCCATCTTTGTTATCCGGCAAATCACGTTCTAAACTTTCATTTCTTTAAGGAAAAAAAGAAAAAGAAACATTTAAAGTTCTTGGTACAAATAAGGAATACACAGATCTCATGTACCAGTGACACCCCCATACTTCCAGGATATCAGCTTTAATAATCATCTACATTTTGATAATACATAACTGTGACTAACAACTTGGAAAAAGCAGAAGTTTTTCCACCATCCCCACCAAGAGGTAAAGCACTGAATTACAGGGTAAACAAAACACTCATGCCGGAGCTTGCTTAAGAAGTAAAAACCAGAGCAGTTCTATTAGAAGATGCAAGCTACCTCCTAGAAGAAACTATTGACTTGTTTCAACAAAGGTACAGGATCTGTTTGAAGTATCACTTCAACTTGTTTGCCTCATCTTCACAGAGGCCTCTGCTTCCAGAAAAGACCATCCTTGTAGCATAAAAATGAGGAAAACTAAGAACGATGAACGATGCAACCACAATCTGCAATGTTAGCCTCCAAGACAGCTGCAATCCGAACATCTTGTATTAGAGATTTAGTGCAAATCCACAGTATTCAAAAATGTCAGAAACAAAACGCTAGCACAGTCAAACTGCAGAATATAGGAGGCTATTAGGAAATAAAGACATGTTCTTTAGCAGGTGATATCCTACAAAAATAAGGAAAAATGTTTAGGAAAAAACAAACTATACCAACAATCATTGAACCTCGTAAGAGTCTTTAAAGCTTTTTGTAAATGAGATCTATCTGCATCCTCTGCAGAAGCAGTTTTGTCACAGTGACAACACGCACAAAGTGAAATTTTAAGTGAAACCTGCAGAGAAGCACTGAAGGACTGTAAGATGTAATTAGTTAACGAAGATTTCCAAACTTAGGCTGAGAGTTTACTCAGAACAGGATGAATGCATCTTACCTGAATACAAACTTTGCCACTTAAAAAGAAAAAAACCCACACAAGTCCCAGCATGCATTAATTCTGAGATCAAGTCAGTGAATACTAAAGCTAGAGGATCAAATGGCAAGGAAACAAATGTGGATAATATATGATACTGGATTGTCATTTATATGTAGAAGAACCGAGGCTCAGGCACTGGGGTTCAAGTTGTACACAGACATCTTAGCCCTCCTGCCCTGGATTGCAAACATCCAGCTACTACAGAAACCAACAAACCTGGGATCAACTATGATGATCAGACGGTTGAGTACCTCCTCTATGAAGAAAGGTTGAGGAATTTGGGTTTGTTCAGCCTGAAGTAGTCGTCAGGAAGAGCTCATTGCGGCCTTTTGGTATTGAAGGGAGCATATAAACAGGAGGGGGATGGCTTTTAGATGGTCTGATAGTGACAATACAAAAGGGAACAGCTTTAAACAACAAAAAAAAGGAGATTTGGGTGAGATGTTAGGAAGACATTTTTTACTCAGAGGGTGGTGAGTGCTGGCACAGGCTGCCCAGAGAGGTTGTGGATGCCCCATCTCTGGAGGCTTCAGGGCCAGACTGGATGGGGCCCTGGGCAGCCTGAGCTGATGGCTGGCAACCAGCCCATAGCCAGGGGCTAGAACCAGGTGCTCTTTAAGATCCCATCCAACCCATGCTGTGCTATGATTCCAAGAAAGCTCTTAGCACTGGCACACCCATTCAAATAATGGTGATTTGCTGCCTACTATACCTTGCGAGCTCTCCCTCGTCCCCAGAGCCTGGCTGACCTCTTCCAAACAGAAGAAAGGCTGGGCACTGTTTGGAAAACAGGATTTTTAGAATTTATCTCATCCTCTTTTACCAAGGATGTTCCCCAAGCTTGATTTTGGTAACAGCCACTTTTGTACAGAAAGGCTGTTCTGCAGGACCTCAGTTCCAATCTCACCTTAGAATACAAAACTAAGCAGACTCCTATCACATCACAGTAGGAAAGCCAAAAGGAAAGCCCATTCATCTCAGAAAAGTCAGTCCCAACCACACCAATAGGTTACTTAGCAAATCTACATTTTTCCCCTCCGAATACTCTAAACAAATTCATGGGTCATTGAAAAAAATCTAATTGCTTTTTAATGCAGAGCACTCTAACTGTTAGCTTAAAAAAAAATAAAATAAAAGCTTAGATATTTATTAGCAAGTCATTTAGTTTAATGTAATAGTATCACCACTACCAAGACTCTTTTCTCCTCACGAAGCTGTGAACATCCCCAAAGACTCATAACCCACTCTGTAAGGGATGTGCTCTATTCCATGCAACATCTGTTTGGCCACAGAACGCAGCCCCAGCATGCAGTTGCAGTTGCTTCAGACCAAACACAAGAAAGTGTCTTGCACATCAGGACCTATTTCAACCTCAAATAGATGAGGGGAAGCACAGATCTTGAATTCACTGTCCCTTCTAAAAAACTTTGATATTAATTATTAACCATGTTTACAAGAATCTCATTTTCCTCTTCAGGTTAAAAGCAATTCAGCAGTACGTACAGCATCTGCTCATGACTCTGCATACCAAATCTTCCTGATAAGAGCAATACACATGCTAGAATTGGAGGCGAAATGGAATTGCAGGACAGCCATCCAACTGCATAACCTCAGGCTTCTTAGGCTGTTAAGGACTCATGTGCTTCACAGCTTCTGCTGTTTTATCAAACTGCTTTGGCCAACCTTCAGCCAGAGTTCTGCAGTGTTCCCAGCCTCTCACACACACAAACACCTCCTACCAAAGCACAAAGGTATCTCAAACACAACAACAGCTTGCAAGCTCAACTAGTGGTAACCTGCACTCTTGAACTCCCAGCAAGCTTGTCACACCCTCTAAGCCTTCTGTTTAAATAATGTTACTGCAGTAGTTACAGTTCCATTAAGTCTCCTACTGGTCTCCCAATGATTGCATCTCACTCAACCACCCAGTATAGCCAGTTTAGAGCAAAGCAGTTCCCCTTTCCATAACGATCCCTCACATGGTTGTCAGGCTGAACCTGCAGGCAGCCTGAAAATACATCTATACACACACATAGAGACACCAATATCAACATACACACATTCAAATGAGACATTCAAATGTCCCATGCAATCCTAGAATAAAATGTCCTAGAAGCACAAGACATTACCAGAAGGTATCACTTAGCTCCAATATTTGAAGTCTGCTACCCACACAGTATATTTAATTCTCTCACAGTCATTCATATTCCAGCAGTATTTGCAATCCAATACTTCGTGGACTAAGTATCATACACAATACTCATCTGCAAAACTGAAGAGCAGAGATGGCACCCACAAGTAGCAAAGTCTGAACAGACATCAGTTACACCTCAGAGATGATCTCCACTGAAGGCATCAGGTTCAACCTTTAAAATCTCCAAACTCGTCCTTACTGGGACTTCCTAATCTCCAGGACAATCCCACTCCTCCGTGAGCAGCCTGAAAGCTGATAGCAATGGGCACTGAAAGCCTGAAGCAGAAGCACAGCTGTTGAGTTTGTGCCTGGGAATGTTTGTTAGATGTGTTTCATCCAGCTCTAGTAGAAGTAGAAAGTTCCAGTAAGCCTGAAGCCCCGCTTTGTTGGTTGCCTTTGAGAATCCCAGCTTTCTGCTCTCAGCAAAACACTTCTGCACCTCCAGGCACATTGCAAGGGAGACCATCAAACCAAAGGTAGGAGGTCACACCAGTCCCAGCTGAGCTGGGCAGGCACACACATGCACTGCTTGCATCCTCACCCACCTGCACTCCTCCTCACTGAGCCCATTCCAAACTGCAGCACACATCAAGGACTGTGAAGCCTTTGTGGAGTCAGAAATGTTATTTCTGTTCGTCACTACACTACCACACAGAACTTTGGGATGAGAAATGTTCCAAACAAAAACATCTGACTAAGTAATGATATCACCTGCTTCTTCCACTGCCTGCTGCCAGATGTACCACAAGGGTCCCCACGTCACAATGAGCCAGGCAGCTGCTGCCAGGGGGAAACTTGTTTGGTAACACACATCCAAAGCTTCAAATGCACTGACAAAGGACTGAAGAACTCAAATCGATGCCGATGCTGTAAAACCAGAAAACATGAATTCCAGCAGATAAACTGCAGTTTCTTTTAACAGTACAACCTACTGTTTTCTGTTCACTTCTAGGGAAAAGAAAACCCAGCAAGCAGAAAGTAATTTGACAATTCAATTTGCAGCTTAGTTCTCCAAAGTATTCATTATCTGAAAGCAAGAGACAGCAAAGTGACAAAGCTCCCTTCATGCAGATGTTTCTGCCCTGCCTGATGTGTTATGCACTCATCATATTGCACAGCTCAGGGAACTGTTTGGGGGAAGAATCCCTGCTAAATGAGATTAGTGATGCACAAACACACTACAATGAGAACTTATGACCCCAAGGGCAGCTGCAAAAAAAAAATATATATATATATATATATATATATATATATATTTACAACCCTCAGAATTTAAGATATTTTTCTATTTTTAATCAGAAAAAGCATAAAAATATGTTTTTATTTCAAAGCATGTTAAAAAATAATTAAAAAAAAAAAAAACAAAACAGAGATGCATCAGCCATACTTCAATGTAAGCCAATGAAAAATGCCATCAAACTACTGCTATCTGTGCTTCCCCTACCTATTTTTCCCAAGAAACTGCTTCTGCTCATGTTCTTTCCTACAGTACTGACTCGTGGTTGCCTCCACAGCTTTCCTACACCTACATGGGAGTGTTCCTTTCCCTCATCCCAGGCAGAGCTGCCCAGATATCAGTCATTCACCATTTCTCTTCCACCCACTCCTTTTCAGACTCCAAAATATCCTCAATTCTGATCTCAAAGAATTTAAGATTACTCATCTGAGCTGTCTGCTGTTTTCTCCTGCAGACAAAAAAACACAGTATCCTTTTTGTTCCTCCTGATCTGCAACTGCCCTAGTGTCCATGCTGTTCTGCAGCAGCAGCCCAAAGCAGGCAGCACTGCTGTGATGTGATGTGGTCCCTACAGGTTACACTGAAGCTGAGGAGTCCTGCACAGCAGCAGAAGCAATGCATCCTGACAGATTTGCTGCCAGCAAAGTACACCCTTACAAGTGAACAGGTGAAAGCTGAGGACAACACCATGCCTTCTGCTCCAGTTCACCTTCCACATGTGTTTTCTGTGGGAATCAGTCTCCATATTCCAAGGAGCACAAGCTGCTCCTTCCCATCCCACCTCCAGGACAGCCCTTCTGCTCACAGCTAGACAAGAGATTCCAGGAAACCTTGCTTATAGGTAGAATATTTCAGAAATAGTTCAGAATATTGAAAGAAACTGAATGTTCTGGGAAAGAACTGCAAAAGAAAAAAAAAAAGAAAAAAAAAAAAAAGGAAAACGTACCTTCTATAATTGATATGGAGATGCACGGCTTATATCAATTCTCAGTGCCATCTCAAGAACCTACAACCCTTTATTTATAATATGGAAGCACCGGCCAGCAGGACCTGTAGCTCTCGAATAAAAAATGACACTGAATGACACAAGTATCCATTAGTAATCAGCATTTGGGGAAGAAGACAGAAGAAAATACAGTGTAAAGAAACACAAAGTTACACTATGGTACTGGCCAGCAAGAAGCAAATGCATGTTTGGACACATGATGCACATCCTAAGGCAGCATGCCTTTCTACCACTGCTTTCAAGACCCAAAGTCAAAACTACCCTATTTCCAATGACCAGTCCTCGTATTAGCACTCACCAATTCACATTAAGATTATTTGCCCCCTCTCCCCTTAGTCACTGGGTGTCACAGTCAAACAGCAGGCAGGAACTCAGAAGGAGCTCTGCTGACAGGACATGGGCCCAACAAACACCTTTTGTTAAGAAGGTGATGAAACGTCAGGGCTTTCCTCCACCCAGTAAAGATAAATAAGCATTGACAGGATCTCCAGCAGCCAGAAATAAGCTTTATTACAAGAGAAAACAGAAAGCTACAGCTTTTTGAAGCACAGTTAAACAGCCTTAGGCTGCCATGATGTCTCTCCCAATTCAACTACCTTTTACATTTCATAAAGGATGAGTGCAAAGGAAGCCACTTGGCAAGCTGTGCAATTACTACCAGGTACAGTAGGCTTCCCACTGCAGATAACACACTTGGAAAAAAACAACCATCCTCATTTAAAATGGTTCTTCAGCCACCAAAAAGCATTTCTTGCTTTCAATACATCCTTTGCACAAAAAGACATGTGACTTAATAACCCTGCAAGCCCAACTGTCAGTCATTAGCACACTGCAAACAGCCTGGGATCTTCCTTTTCATCTGATTACCTCATTGGAAGCATCAAAGCCACCTACCTTCCATATTCACTTGCATTATATACCTTCCTACTGAATTTAACTCAGACTGCCAAGTGCTGGGAAGAGCAGCAAGGAGCTGACAGCTGCTCCAGCTGTGTGCTGTGTGGATTCCAGCCCACGAAGAGCACAAAGCAACGCCTTCCTCAGCTCTTTGCAATGCAAGCAGCAATGACAATTTTTAATTTAAAATCACTGGAGCAATTTCACTGCTTTTTACGCAGAAATTAGTAAAATTAGGAATTACACTACACAGTGGCTTTCAACATTAGACTCAATGAACCAGGAGACTGTTTGCACCCCTGAGCATTCAAGAAGTGCCCAACACAGGGGAGAGTAGTCCTGTACTTCTATAGATCATAGAACAGTTTGAGTGGGAAGGAACCCTTAAAGGCCATCAGGTGCCACTCCCTGCAGTGCACAGGGACACCCACAGCTCCAGCAGTGCTCAGAGCCCAACCAGCCTGACCTTGGCTGTCTGCAGGGATGGGACATCACCAGCCTCTCTGTGCACCTGTGCCAGGGCCTCACCGCCCTCTGGGTAAAGAATTTCTTCTTTCTATCCCATCTAAATCTCCCTTCTTTTAGTTTGAAACCATTTCCCCTTGTCCTGTCACCACAGACCCTGATAAACAGTCTGTGCCCTTCTCTCCTATTCTTCTTTCCTTCCCATTTCAATACTGACAGGCTGATCCCAGGTCTCTGCAGAGTCTCCTCATCTCCAGGCTGAGCACACCTGTCCTCTCCACCTGTCCTTCCACACAGGAAGGCGTTATACCTGCAGCACACGCAATGAAAGAAGTCGAACGAAGACAGGAGCCGGTACCAGTGACAGTATGCTTCACAACCCTAAAATATTTACTGCTCTTACTGGGTATTACCCTTCAGAAGAGACCAATACGTGGGAAATAACCAGGAAGTTGAGAAAACACTGCACAGGGTGAACTGCTCCCGCATCTCTGAACACTCCCAGGAGCAGGAAGGAGAACATCGACCCTCAGCTTCCTCACGGGAACCACAGGAGCGTGAAGGTTGGAAAAGATCTCCAATCCCCTCCACCACGCCCCCCTGCAGCCGCATCTCCATGGTTTTCCAGCACCCCGAGGGACGGGGAGCTTCCCCACCTCCGTGTTCCACCGCTCTCTGGAGAAGAAATTTCCCCCCTTCTCCAACCTGCCCTCCCCTGCTGCGGGCACAGCCGCGCGGCCTGACGCTCCGCCAACAGCGCGCCCCGGAGGCTTTAACGCCGAGGAAGCCTCAGCCGAGCGCCGGGCTCCGCCTTCCGTTAAGGCCTGGGAGCGCTGAGGCCGCGCTTACCGTGTGAGGAACGGCCGCTCCAATGGCTGCAACGGACACGCACTCACCGCGCGCCGCGGGGGCGCTGCCCACCGCCCCCCTCCTCGCGCATGCGCACACGCGCCGCTGCCCCCCTCCTGCGGCCTTTCCACGTCGCCGGCACTGCGGCGCTGCGCATGCGCGAGGGTCGCGGCCGCGCGGCACGCCGGGAAACGCAGTCCGCCGGGCTGTAGGAGCGCGGGGCACGCCGGGAAGTGTAGTCCGCCTGCTTCTAACGAACGGCTAAATCTGATTTTATGTATACCGTGCCAACCGCAAGAGGGCGGCTGCTGTAGTTTTTGCTGCCTATTTGATACCTGTGGTGTTCGATACCTATAAAATACACTATTTTTTGTTTCTTAAACGCAGCTTTGTGCAGTTCTTTGCACTGCAGCACAAGATCTCCTGCACCCCTGCCCACCTTCAGGCAGCTTCTTTCTTCCATCTGCTTTTTTAAAGTCATTTCTGCTCTTCTTGCTGTTTATTCACAATGCAGCAGGATCTCGAACCTAATCTTGAAAAGGAATAGAAACAGATTTGCAATACAAGTCTCTGCCAGGGCTTTCAGTGCCTATTTTGCTTTCTGCAGTTTTTTGGTGGTTTTTTTTTTTTTTTTGGTTGGCCCTTTCAGTAGATGCCTACACACCTAGAAATGGGGCTAGAAGCCCCATTCTATTTCATGTTTCATCTCAAAGTATCATTTCAGTAGGGGAAAACAAACAAACAAACAAACCCAAAACAAAACAAAACAGCACTAACAAACAAGGGAACAAGATTTCACAGCTCCTTCCTGCAAAATGTGAGAAGCCTAAGCACAGCTCTGGCATTTTTTGTCACACTCACGGCTGTTAGAAGTGAATGTATTACACAGCACGTCTGTGAGAGGTTACAGGAATGCATTATCTTTTAAAGCATGAACTGTGCCATAGAATAATAGAACCAGTTTTTCCATCGCAGAAGATACTGCAGGGAGAAAGATGTGCCTGTGAATGATGTAAGGGCTTATGCTCCAAGGGTAGTGCAAAAGCTGATCAAGTAATACAAAATTCACCTCCTAACAGAGTGGCTCGCTTAGAGAAATTAAGCAGCATTATGTCTTACATCTTAAATTCCATGATTAAAAGGAATTTTCTATGATTGAACTTAATACAAAGATAACAGAACAACAATGGTCCAGTATCCAGCTTGAGCACTGCAGGCTGATTCACACATGCCCTGACAAAATCTGAGCAGCAATAGGAAGCAACACACCTCTGCAGAGGCAGCTGACAGCCACCGATTGGATACTTCCCTGGCAGAAGAAATCACAGCTCAAGAATGAGCCAGGACCTCAGTGACAGTTCAAGGGGAGCAGGATGCCTCTCAGCACTCCAGTGCACTGCCCCTCTATGTGCAATAATTCTTGGATTAACACGAACACATTCATCAGCTTCTCTTGCTATCATAACACTTGCAAGGCACTATCCACAAAACATCTCTCTATAAAAAATGTACAACTGTAAGACTTTTGAGAAAATGATAAGCAGCAATCCCACTTGCTGAAATGGCTAGTTTGGAGCTGTTCTTTGTTTCGTTTTGTTTTAGTCTTTTAGATAGTCTTCTGGTTTGGCAGAGGGGACAAAGCAGAAACTAACTTCTATTCCTATTAAGCACAAAGGCATCATTTTGGGATGCAATTCAGAACCAGAACACATCCTCCCAGGAGGAGGTAGAGCTGGACACGCTGAGATCACTTTCTTTATCCTGCAGTCAGTAGTTTTATGACCATCCTCAGTCTGCTGACTATCTACAGGTTTTCAAAAATTTCGTTACTGCTTATTCTAAAGAATACTGTTACTGTTTATTCTAAAGATGACTAAAAACAACAGTATGAAGCAACTAATTGTTAAATAAAGTCCTGCTTTATTACAATTCAAATTACACAAGCATATTGAAAGAGATTTTAGTCTTTTTTTTTTTCCTGAAAGATAGACATGTATCATTTGAAATCACTACAACAGAGTATAAAGCAGCAATTCTCTTGCATCATGTCTTTGCTGATCCTTTTCAGGAATGAAAGGTAAAAAGTTAAAGAAAAAATGACTGAAAATATCAAATCAAGACCTTCTATTTCTAGTAAGCTAAGTAAACTTTGCACACAGCATTACTCCTTTAGCTCATCCACAAATTTCACATGGCAGGCTCTACTCTTCATAATTTTGACCATAATATTTATATTGCCACAATGAAATTAGTAGTTCTTTAACTAGGCCAAGGTTACAGTTTTCAAGTGGAAGCCTGAAATTTGCACTCACAGCGAGCAAAACTAAGCAGCAACACATTTAGCTAGACTTATCCACAAACTATTTAATCTAATCTCTAATCATTTCAAATAGATTATAGATGCAATGTGGCGACAAAAACAAAGAATAACTTAATACAGTTTTCAAACATTTCATATAAGAAATTTGCTAGCTGCCATTGTAGCGGCAAAAGAGATCCTCTCCTGTAAGTGGTAAGGGGTTTTATTCAGCTGAAATGTGCAAAGAACAAAATCTCAGTGTGAGAAATAGCAAATCACCAGTTCATGTTGGACACAAGGGGAATGAAATCCGTAGGAATGAATTCCTCTAATCTGCTTTCTTGTCAGACACTTCTGTTGATCCCTTTGCAGAAATTCCATTTGCAACCCCATTGCTTTCAAACTGCAAATAAAGGACAACACCTTTAAAATGAGATGTCTAAAACGATCTTTATACCCAGGACAGTAATATTTGGTGATGAAAATTACTCTCGTAAGCACAGCCAGTAGAGATTCATGCAGAATCTGCCTAAGAACCAAAGTGATGGAATTTCTTTAAATTTACACGTGACTGTTTGGGGTGGAGGATGAGGGCAAAGCTCTCAGAAGCTCTCATTTTTGCTACAAGAGGTACACAGTAAATACACAGTTTCAACACATGGAACGTTTTATCCCATTATTAATGGCAGAGCTAGCAGAATAGTTACTTTTTATAATCCGTTTCATGCGTCAGGTATGATTTATTCATCACTTCACTTCCTGCTTTTCCAAAGGAACAGCCTGAGTACTGTCTTCAAGCTTTTTCAAAACACAGATGCAATTCCTGTCCTTCTAAAACCTCCCAGAAGCTGTCTGGAAGAAACAGCTATTTCCAACCAGCTCAGTACTGACAGCTCCCATTCAGAAGTAAATAGCCACAAAAGCTTCTCTGAAAACACCCAGCTTCTGCGGTGCCCACTGCTGCTCTATCTAGAGATTCCCTCACTAGGTAAGTGCATTATCTTACCCTGTAAGTTCCAGGTTCATCCCCCTTATCTCTCTGTGAGGCTGAAGGTGCCTGTGGATTTCCAGCACTCCCTCCTTGGCCTTGTTTGGTGGCTGTTTCTTGCACAGCTCTCTTGGACCACACACGCTTAATGAAAGGAGCAATAACAGGATAGATGTAGGGCTCAAGGAATTTCTTGTAGACCCACAGAAGAACCGGAATGACAATACAAGGGATGCACACCATGGCTTCCTCTCCTTCTGTGACAAAGCTGAAAAGCAAAAACGTTTACAGTTTTTGTATGCCTCAAGTTAAGAAAACACAAAATCTTAAGAAAGGACTGCAGTTAATGTTTAAAGAAAAAAGATCTCTTAAAGCCAAATTTTTAAAGTTCTACAGTGTAATTCCCTAAGCTGAGAGCAGCTGCATGTTCCTGTGCTACAAAATCCTCAGGAACAAAAAGGGCAACACTCCTGACATTTTGGTAGTAATCTTTGTTTGTTAATTCATCATCCCCACAGCTCAAAGTCAGAAAAATGCATTCAGAAAATCAAACTTTTTGCTCAAATCAAACAAAACAAAAAAACAGGATCTGAGGAGAACATGTGCTACTTTCTTCCACCTGCACTGGACTGGGACTCACATGATCTCACACCAATTCAATACAGTTTGCCAAACTATTAGAAAATTAAGAATCCCTTTTCTCCCAAAACCTGTGATTTTGGGAGTTACTTTCAAAAATAGCAGCCCAAAGTCTGCAATGAACAAAGCAGAAAAGCAAAAAGCAAAGTGCAAGGGCAGAAAGGTACAAATGAGAGAGGCACTGCTTAAGTAGAATGAGAGCTGTCCCTTTCTGTGGTGGTGAGGTACCACTTACACTATGCTCTGCTGCATAGTACATCTCTGCCCTTCACATTTCTCTTTCTTGGAGGCTAACACCTGAATTCTTACATTAAAACACACAAAATCTTTCCACGAAGCTGCATACACTCATGTGGGAGATCCATTACTCTTTTCAAATTATCCCAGTGTAGCCCGAGGCAGGCCCTGTGAAATAGCAGATCAGCTTCCAGTTGATAGCTTCCAATGACAGTTTTGCCCTCTTCCAGTTTAACAGTACAGGAGCTGACTGCCTCTGAAGCACTAAGATGGGAATCTTACACTGAAAAAATAAGCATGAGGCAACCCACCAAAGCCATCTGAATAGACTCATGCACTCAGTGCCTGACTTCCTGGATATCAAATCTTCTGTGAAACCCTAAGGAATTATCCACCTGCTGAAGAATGACAGAAACAACAGGCTGCCTTCCCGAGGCAACACCAAGTGTCTGTGCTGTCACTTTGCATGCAGACAAATGATAGCACTGTCAGATGCAGAAGGAAGCCACAGAAACTAAAAC